AAATAAATAAATAAAATCTTAAAAAAAAAAAAAAAAAAAGAACTGTAGAGAGAAGGCAGAATTGGAAGTGGGCCTCTACTCCAGGCTGAGTGGGTAGAGTTAAGGGCAGGCTTTAACTGCAGTTGTTTTGCTTGTTTGTTTGTTTGTTTTCTGAAGCCACAGCCGCAGCAGGTACTGGTCCAGGCTCAGAGGCTGCACTGTTAAATCTGACCCTTGCCTTGGAAAATGTCTGAATCAGAGGGGGTCCTGAGTAGAAATGGGGATTTTGCAACATTGTTGTTTTCATTCCTGCAGCTCTTTTCCTCTAACACTAGTCTCATGAATAGGGGCTCCAGCTCAGATTTCTGGAAATTACTTGATTTGTCCATCCTCTGTGCCCAGGTATGCACATCAGCATTAACGGACTTCCCAGAGCTAGGTGGCTGCTGATTTGACCCAGGGCCTGGGGCTCTCAGCAGTGGGAGTTGGTCTCTTTATTAAGTTCCACCTGAAATGCTAAATCCAATGGTGGAATCATGGCTTGGGTTATTTTCTTGTCATTATTCTTGACTTTAATTTCTTCGTGGGCCTGATCGACAGGTAGTATTGGCAAGGGAATTTATTTTTCCCTTTTTCTGACAGCTCATAAATGTCTAGAACCAACAACACGGATTACACTGGTTTGCATTTTCTTAGTCTCCAGTCTTAAAACGTGTGTCCTGCGCATGTTCAGTCGCAGAGTGAAGTGTTGATCCCTCCTTATTATGAGCTGCTTGGGTTCCAGTCCCAATTGGTTTAGTCTGGTGCTATTAAAAATCTTGATGTGTTTAGCATATGACACTGATTTGGTGGAAACCAATACAGTAGTAATATCCTCACAATGCATTGTAATTTATAGCGCTCCCAGGGGGTGACAGCCTTGGAATGCCTAACAGGGGCGAGTTTATAAAAGCAGAGGTCACGTGGGCTAAGCACCACCATTGCCAGGCCAGTTCCTCCCTGCAGCCCCCAGCACCACCTCTCTCCTCCACTCAGAGCAAATAACCCACCTAGAGCTGCTGTGGCCATAAAAACAAGCAAACAAATAACCCCCAGCCTCTTCATTGTGCTTGGATATGAAATTAAAATGAAAAACAAGTTTTGGTACCTTCCTCTGTAGCATCCCACATTAACCTGTCACTTCTCTTGGCAGGTGGGGAATAGACAAGGGCCTACAAACTCCTTTTTTTCTTAAAAGCAGAAATGGAGATTGATAGAACACTGGCTAAACTTTACCTAATAATGATATTAATACCATAACTTTTATTAGGCACCGTGCTAAGTGCTTTATATGAGTTATCTCACTGAATCCTCATTACAGCCTGGTGAGGTATGCACTGTTGTCCCCTTTTACAGTCAGAAAAAAATGGAAGCTCTAAGAGGTTAAGCACCTTGCTCAGAATTCCATAGCTGGTTAGTTTCTGAGTTAGGATTTAAGTCTGAGTCTGCCTGGTTAAGAGTCCATGCTGTAATGCACAGCAACATACTATTGGGAGTTGAGAATATTTAATCCTGCTCTCTCTTCTTCTTAAATTTTGTTCCCCCCAGAATGACTGAGAGGGGCTGGTGGGAGCAGGACAGAGATGGGCAAACAGGAACACCCCACTCAAACCACTGGACCCTTTGAACAGCTGGTCCTTCTCTTACCCATCTCCAACCACTCCACCCTACCCCCACCAGCTGCCCTTGCAAAATTATTAATTTTTAAGTATAAACAATCTCAGGGCCTGAACTAACTTGAGCTCTCGAGCACTCTCTGAAGTAAAATACGGACAGGGTTGTGATGGCCACAAATGGGAATCGTTTCCATTTTTCCAGCTAACTATACAAATTTGATAATTGGCTAAACTGGTTTTCTGTTAGAGAAACCCAGAAAGTAATTTGCCAGTGGTGCATCTGTGTAGCATGGAGTTCTTCCAGTCAGTGTTAATAAGCATAGTGGTGTCATATTTTTTTTCAACAGTCTAATGCTGTTCGTTCCCACCCCGCACAATGAGTGCTGTATGTAGTCATAGGGGGAAAACCTGAAGGGCCCTGTAACAATGATCGGAACATCAAACCAGCCCCAGAAGGACACAGCATGTCGGGGGGGGGGGGGGGGGGCAGAGGCTGAAGGGCAGGCCATCCCCCATTGTTACATTCGGATTACCTTGGATTACCGGCTTAATCTGCTTTGGTATTTGACCGCCAGCCTAACCACCCCAGGCTGCATTTGGAGGATATTGAGCACTTTCATCCCCAAGCACTTCACCGGCTTTATAAATGACCCACTCGATTCCCTTCCGCCTCCTCAGGGATGGGACGCGGCAGCTGTTTAATAGCCACAGAGCAATGTTGCAGTGTTTTAGGGCAGAAAAGAAGAATCCTGCATCCAGTTTAAGCTGCAGGGAGTATTTAGGAAAGGGGAATGTAATTATCCACATTGGAAGCAGGCCACGGCTTGGAGCTTTGGGGAAAGAGCCTGTAGGACCTCCACTTTCCAGCCCACCTGAAAGATGGGGCTTCCTTTCAGCAGTCAAGGACATCAGCCTGCTTCCTGCTGACTCAGGAAGAAGCCCCTAGGCACTGTCTCCTTCACATACTCCCCATCAGACCCCTTAGGGTCATTGAGAGGCTCCTTTCCAAGGACTGGCCCTGGCTCAGCCTCGAGGATACGACAGCGTCCCAGGGAGCTACCCTCCACACACCAGTTTGGGTTTAACATATAATCAAATCAGAGTGACAGCAGGTGGAAACAGCCCTCTGTTGCTGCAGGAACTGTCCTTGAGTTAGGAACAAAGACAGGACAAGAAAGACAAGACAAAGTGAGTATTTGCACGTGTGCATTCATGCCCATATACATGGGGAAAATAACAAGGACTTCACCAAAACCGTTTATTGGATCTTATAATGGAATGAGTAGGGAGACTTTTTTTTAAAATATACTTTTTTTTTAATATATATATATATTTTTTAAGATTTTTTAATTTATTTATCAGAGAGACAGAGGCAGGCAGAGGGAGAAGCAGGCCCCTTGCTGAGCAAAGAGGCTGATGTGGGACTTGATCCCAGGACACTGGGATCATGACCTGAGCCAAAGGCAGACGCTTAACCGACTGAGCCACCCAGGCATCCCAGGGAGACTTTCTTCTACATTCTAGCAAAGAATTTAATCCCAAGGTGTTTTTTTAAAAAAAAAAAAAAGGGTGGTGAAAGAGCCAGAAGGCTGGCCTCCAGTTAAGCGAGGTATTACACGAATAGATTTGGATATACTCCCGGTCACAGTCCATTCACTTAAGAGAGTAGAAGTATTTGTGAAAAAAAAGTTGCCTGTAAAGCATATTTCCAAGTTTTTACTCTTCCTTATTAATTTTCATTATAAACTTGGAAATGTGTTTCTAGGGAGAATTTTTGGCCCTAAGACATAATAAAATCACACTGCAGAATGCAGCAGACCTTATAAAAGCACATATTCAAGGGAAAATTCTAATTTTACAGCACACTTTTGTGTTCAGCTTGCATGCCTTACTTGGAGCAGGGAGGGTGTTTGGGTTTGGCACAGCGGCTCCAAAGGTCTCGAAGAAACCCATCCTGAGACTCCGACTCCAGGTCTCACCCCCCAGCCCAGAAAGAGGAGTGGCCGGGAGCAGCCGCGGCACACCAGGCACTTTCTGACCTTGTAGCTGCTTACAAGGGCTTCAGGAAGGCTGCTGGCCTTTGGTGGCACTTAGGCTGCCCTCCTAGAGGACGCGGATGCTGCAGGAAGAGAGAGAAGCCCTGGGGTTACAGCTGGGGGTGGGGGGCAGGGAAGGATCCTCTGCTGTGATGGAGGACATGGATGACTGGGGTTCCCAGAATCCTGGCAGGGGTCCTCAGATAATGTCCACTGAACTAGTTTTTTCACTTACAATTGCCATACCGTATGCACCTTACTTGGGGGGAAAAAAAAACTTCCATAAACATGTGGGTTGTAAACCAAGGTAAAATAGAGACAATTGTTTGCATTTTAAATGAATGATCCTACTCTACAAAAAATACTCACATGAGATCTTCTATAAATAATGCATTTAAAATCTGGTATGTGCCTGGGCGCCTGGGTGGCTCAGTCGGTTGGGCAGCTGCCTTCGGCTCAGGTCATGATCCCAGGGTCCCGGGATTGAGTCCCGCATCGGGCTCCCTGCTCTGCGGGGAGCCTGCTTCTCCCTCTCCCTCTGCCTGCTTCTCTGCCTACTTGTGTTCTCTCTCTATCTCTCTGTCAAATAAATAAATAAAATCTTTAAAAAAAAAATAAAATAAAATCTGGTATGTGCCTAACATTTTGTTTAAATACAATTCTGGGGCTGTTCTAAGCCAGGTATACCTGAAATGAGTGAATTTCTGTATTTGGACTTTACAAATCATGAGACAAATCTGCCTGTCAGCTTTCATCTTCTTAATTTATTTTTCCTTTACACATTTGTAGACAGAAAAAAATGCATCTCAGTTCATACCTGTTGGGATCCAAATGTTCCCCATTACCAGTAGCTCCCCTTTTCCTAACCAGCACATCTCTCCCTTGCTTGAAATCACACCTGGAGGATTCTTAACTCCACTCGATTCCTTTCAGAGCTTTGTTCAATCCCTTTGGTTTGGGTACCCGTGATACGGGCTTTCCAGGTTATCCAGTATCGGAATGCTCTGCTGGGCGTTGGGCTTTCGGCAGCTGGGAGGTCCTGCTCACATGGACAGAGCTGGTGTAAAGGCCATGCCCCGCCCACTTCTCTCCCCTTCCCATCATCTAATGTGATTCAGCAGGAAGAGCAGAGTCCCTTCCTTCCCAGTAATCCCGTTGCTTCCTTCTCTCCCCAGTGAGAAAGTGGCGAGTGAAAAGTGCCTTGGGAGCCTTGGGCCAATGGCAGATTGAGGTGGGAGAGCCAGCACTCCCAGGAGCAGGGAGCCTGGGGTCTGAATTCATCAAGGAAGACAATGCCAATGTATGTCTATCTGTTAGGTGTCGGGGAGGGGGTGGTGGGAGTGGGCCTGGAGGGCAGACACCATGTCTTATTCACCACCTTGTCTCCCATGCCCACCTGGGCACAGAGTTCTGGAAGTGTTTGCCTGAATGAATACCTATACTTGGGTATGGTCATCCTTGAATGAATGAATGAATGAATGAATGCTTGGCTTGGTCATCCCAGGACAAGGGCTCCAGGCCTGGAATGTCACAGCAACAGCATTGTCAGGGGGAGCTGTGGGAAGAGCTGAGGGTCTCCTGTTGTGGGCCCCGGGTAGAGCTTTGCAGAGCAGGAAGCCATCCCTTGCTGGCCCTCACCAAGAGTGGTCCTAAGTTGGATTTGCCTTCTGCAGCCCATCTTCATGCGCAAGGACACCAAGATGAGCTTCCAGTGGCGGATTCGAAACCTCCCCTACCCTAAGGACGTCTACAGTGTCTGTGTGGACCAGAAGGAGCGCTGCATCGTTGTCCGAACAACCAACAAAAAGTAAGTGGCATGATGGGCACCTGCCGGCCTGTGGGAGGGCTTCCTCTCCGCAGGACCAGCTTGAATAATGTAATCAGCTCCCTCAGGGCGGGAAATTGGAACAAGGAATGTCTGGTCCGGTAACTGGCACATACTGGGGTTCAACAAATATTTGTTGAATGAGGGGACGAGGAATCACCTGGCCATTAACTTGTGATCGTAGGTGGTTCTGCTGTAAGATTATTACCTTGACCCCCTGGCTGGATCCAGTCCATGGTGAACTTGGCTTGGTGACATCACTGTCGGGGCTGTCAGGGAGCCATGGCCTAGAGGGCACACCCAGCTGAGGTGGCAGTTAGAGGACTTAAAGTACTGGTCTGGGGTTAGCCAACCTTATCCCGCCCGGGGCTGACGGGCAGTAGGCAGGTACTTTGGCCTCCTGGAAGTCTCTTGCGTTCTGTTTCAGAAGGGGCACCTAACTTCCCTTTATTTCTCTCCTACTGTTCTGCTGGGGGCAGGCAAGGGGAGAGGGAACAGAAGGTGGCCAAGGAGGAGATGTGGTCCAGGCAGGGCTGTTTCTGGGCTGACCATCTTGGAAATGCATTTAGATTTCCAGAGCTCTGACTGATCACAGGAGAACCGTGTTAATGAGCTGGTCTTGACCTGGGCCAGAGGAATTGCAGTATAGGACCAACTCCCATGAAATATAGTTGAGGTATTAAAATGGAAGGTTTTATGAGTGACTGGTCCACACACTGGAGCCACCCAACATGCCTTGTGGGTGCTGAGCTTGGGCCAGAGGTGCCGCCATCCATCCGTTTCATGCAGTCAGGAGGACCCAGCTCCTTGTCCGGCTCCTTGGGGGGTGTGGTGCCGCCTCCCCTCCCAGCTCCCTCAGGTCTGCGAGGCCCACAGGAAAGCAGCACAGCTCCCAGGCTCCCCCGGCGCAGCCTTGGGTTCTGCCCTCTGCTTATGACCCCCATACCCTCTCACTTTGGCAGGGTTAAGGGGATGGGGAAGGGGTGGAGATGAATGAATTAATTTCAAGATTATTGCTCTTCGTGTAGCCAGCAGCCCCTGCAGTGGGCCTTGTCTATAAAGTCATAATAATAAGGGTTTGCGTTTATAAAGCACTTTGAAGCCCTCAGATAAAAGGCAGTTTATTCCTGTTATTGTTCTCATCATTAATGGGAGTCAGCGCCTAAAGTGGAATTTAGCAATTTCAGACAACAGAGAAATTGCCTTTAGGAAAACAAACTCTGTGCTTCAGCAAGCATTCCCTGGCGTAAGAGGCCCTGGGTCCAAACTGGGAACAAAAGTGCTTCTGATAGCACTTGAATCTGCAGCCTAGCAGTTTGTAGAGCTGGCTGCTGCCTCCCTTTTGTCCCCCAGAGGTCACTGTCGAATACAGATATCAGGCAGAAATGTGATTACTGGGGAGTGAGAGAAGAGAGGCCAGCTAGCTCACCAAAAAATTCATCTGCGGGCAGATCCTCTGGGTCCCATCTGCTGCACATACCCAGCTGTAGGCGGCGCTGTTGGCCAGGAGCAACATGGCTAGAAGCCCACTCCTGCGCTCAAGGCAGCTGGAGACATTTTTGAACTGATGGGTGAGGCCAGGTGGGATGGAAGTAATGCCCCTAGACGGGACAGGGCCGGGGCTGGATCCCCACAGAGGGGAGAGGAGTATGTGAGTGCCCGCTTCGGAGCCCGCACTGAGCCTCTGGTCCAGTGGCCCTGCCTGGCTCAGCCCAGCCTTCCTCGGGTCCCTCTGCCCAGAGGTAGGAGAAAAAGGCCACTAAACCTTTAACCGGCTCTTTCTTGAGCCTAGTGGCATTTTCATCTCCTACCAGGGGCAGTAATGTGTCTTATACCTTTACTACCACTAATTAAACAACTCAGTGGTTATTCTTTTGAGCAGGATACTGTTTTTTTTCAGGGTACGTTAAAAATCTGTTTTCTGGGGCGCCAGATAGATAAATAGATAAAATAGATAGATAAAATCTTTAAAAAAAAAAAAATCGTCACACCATCCAGTGTTGGGCAGGGTACATATTTTCATTCTTGTGTTATATCGTAATGATTATATAAATGTGTCTGTAAAGTCAGTGTGATGAGCTGACTTGCAAAGGGAAAGTTAGCGACAGTCTAGCTGCCCGGACATCTACAGTATCCACACCGTGGCATCTCTCTCTGATTTGCCTTCTTCCATTACCTGCTAGTTCTGTGCCTGCCTGAGTTCTAATATTCTGGAATGTGGTTACTAGTAAAAGCCAGTATTCCTTGTCCATACCTGCCTTGTCCCTGAAGGACTGGGTTGGTCACTTTTCTGGAAAGGATTGATTCCAATGTATCATGTCCTTGGCCTCATGTATTAGTGAGGGGATGAATCAGGGAAGAAAGTGCTTTTCCAGGATCCCAGCGTGGTATTGCCTGTTCCTGATAATAGTGTGCAGAAAGAAGATTCTTAGCCTCAGACTAGAAGCTGGCAGCCATTAAGTGGAATGGACAAGGGCACTGGAGTGGGAAGGGGTTGGCTTAAATCTGGCCTCTGCCACGTACTAACTGTAGTATTTTGGGCAAGGCTTCCTCACACAGGAGAATACTCATACCCACCTCACAGACTGTTTGGGCAATTTGATGAAATCATGTGTATACAAACGTCCGGGACAATGGCCGGCCTGAAGCATGTCTTTAGCAATTCTTTGGAAATTAGAACTTGGCTGATTTGACACTGGTAACATTAACACTGGGAGGTGTTAATAGGCATCACTAGAAAAAAAGGATTCCGTGGTCAAATAAATTTAGGGAACTGGATTAAACAAGTTTCTCTTTGGTAGGACGTATGGCAGTCTTAGTATGTGAATGTGCATTGTGAGTCCAGGAAGGGCTGCTGTAGGCAGGGATGATCGGCTTGCCTGGAGCTGTGATGTTTAAGAAAGAAGGAAGGTTTGCCTACTGCTTTTCTGAGGGCGGGACTGGCTAGAGGCTTCTCAGGCCCAGTCTTGCCAAACCCGTGTGCGGGTGTGCAGGGCGCCCCGGAGCTGTGTGTGGGGCACGGCCCGTGTAACTCTCCACAGTGGCCCTGCTTCTGCTTTTCAGCCTCTCCTCCGAGTCTGTCTCCAGAGGCCTGGCCTCCTGTGTTCTTTCTCAGTTCACTGCAAAGAATAGGTTGGGAAACAACTGGAAATTGGGAAGAGGATACAGCAGAGAGCAGTGGGGTACTGTGGGTCATTTCTGAAGTAGCCCAAGTGAAGGAGCCATCCTTTCAGCACAGTTTGCGGGGAGGTACAGAGTTGGCCTCTTCTGGTCCCTTTGACAGTGACTTAAAGTTCATCTCGTTCATCTAGTTCGGTGACTAAAGTTCATTCAGCTCCTTTATTGGAGGACGGCATCTGGAGGAAGAAACCGGGGCCCAGAAGTGAAGTGGCCTGCCCAGGGTCACAGGCCAGGACCAGAGTTGTCCTGAGAGCCTTTGCTTCCCCATGTCTTTCGAAAACTTCTGACCTTCAGAAAGGAAAGCCACTGTGTTAGAGTACCTGGAGGACCTGCAGGGTCATTGGATCCTAAGGGAGATCCCCCCATATCTGCTCCGTCCTTGGACAGCAGGGAACCTAGACCAGGGGTCTGTTACTTGGAGGAGAGTGTGTGGAGAGATGGAGGGTCAGGAGATTTGGGGAATTATTACTTGTAATAAGGGCTTCTCCGCTGACCAGTTTTGTGACTCCAGCAAGATACCTATCTGTATCTCCGTTTTCTCTTTTGTGAAAGAGGATAATAAAAGCAACCAGCCTGAGGGGGTTGCTTTGAGGATTCGATGTGTGTGGAGCAGTGACTGGCCCCACTAAGCATTAACAAACGTCCCCTTTCATTGTGTGACTGAGGCTGAGAACAGTAGTAGGAGATGGGAACAGGGGAGTGTCACGTGTCTGCCAAAAGCCCAGGAACCGCTGCACTATGAGGGCCTAGCTTTCAGCAGAAACACAAGCTCTCCTCAGGCAGAGATAGGGCCTTCTTTCTTCTTCATCTTTAAATCCCCAGCTCACAGCTCAAGGCCTAGGACACAGTTGATGCCTAAAGATGTTGGTTTGCTGCCTCCTCAGGGTTGCCTGAGGCTGAGTGTTCTTTTCCAGAAGCACAGTGCGTCCCTCTCTAGTCCAGGTGCCAGTGAGAAAGTCAAGTGTGGTTCCTCGCAGGGTGAACCCCAAGGCCAGGGGACGGAGGTGAGAAGGGGCTGGGCTGCACCCCTGAGGAGGGGAAGCAGATGTCCCAGACTCCCCTGAACACTGCCCATCAAAGTTGTGTAACCTCAGCCAGTAAACTAAATCCATTAGAACAGACTCAAGACAAAGCAGAGCATCCACACTCACTCTACCTCCATCCCCCTCGCCTCCTAGTGACAGGTGTGGGCGGAGGCCAAGCCCCCTGGGTTTCTCTTTTCAGCCCCAGTGTCCCAGCCGGCACCCCTCTGAGGGTACCCAGGCATGTCCCTGTCCCACGTGGAGCACAAGCCAGGCAGGCAGAAACGATGGCCCCACGCTCTGCACGGTGAGGCTCACGCAGGCCCCGCTGCGTCGGCTAGGCTGCGCGCGTGCCCGGGCTGCTTCTCTCCCAGTTCTGCTGCTTGTGTATATTTGCAGGGAAGATGTTAACACTTCCTAACAAGCCTTTGTGTTCATCTAATCTCTGCTGTTTAACCTTTGACTCCCCCCTATTATCAGTGTCTGCCACCTTTGCTGGCCAGCCCAAGGGCCCCAGGAAGAGCCCTCAGCCTGGCCAGCTAGGAGGATGAGGCCGCATTCCACCCCGGTTTTGCAGGCAGATGGATCGCCTTTCCCTGGGGCAGAGCTTTGGGAAATAAAGCAAGCTTGTGGTGCCATTAGGATCCCCCAGCCCCCACTCCTTTTGAACTGTCAGCCTTTAAGTAAACATTCTTCTCCTGCTGTGGGTCCCAGCACCTTGGCGGGGAGCGGAGAACCTGGGAGGAGAGGGGCCCTGAGCGCCTCCGCTGAACTCCTGGGGATTTGGATAGGAGAGCAGGGCAGAAGTGCTGCATTGATGTCAACTCTGAGTCCCTGGGGCAGCGGGGCTTTTGAAGTGGACCCAGAGTAGCTGTCACCACCAGGCCCAGGCCCCTCTGAAGTAGTCAAAGCCCCGTCCGCTCCAGGCCCCTGACTTGAGTTTGTGTGTACCTGCCCGCAGCATTTCCCTTCCCAGCCCACAGCCCCACAGCGGCAGGGGGGATGCCAGGCCTGGGGAGCAGGTCTGCTGGCCACTGCCTGAGGCCCCGGGCTCCACTTGCACCAGGTTAGACGCCACACAGGCCTGCTGCTAGAGGAGGCGCTCTTGGTGACAAGCACCTGACCGGGAGCAAGGAGCTGGGTCCCGACTCCACGGACAGCTGGCCATGAAGCCAGGCGAGACCCGTTACCTCCCGCTTTGGTAAAGGTCAGATTTCCTGTAGAATGAAGTCCAGTTGTATACATCTGGGCTAGGTATTGCTCTCTGGGTTTTTGGGGTTTGTTTTTACTAAAAAGGATCATTAATCTCTGGACTGGCCCTTACAGATGATAGGGATTGTGTGTGAAAATGGAGGGGGGACGTTTCAGGGCCAGCAAAGTAGTCCAGAGATCCAGCTTCTGAGATGAGTCATGTGGTTTGTCCTCCTAGATTTCTCTTTGTGGATGTACTTCCCTCTCTGGCCTACAAGAGGAGTCAGGCCCATAGGGCCTTGAAAGACCCCAAAAGAGGGAAAAAGTAGCTGGGGCCTTCAGAGAAAGTTGCATGTAAATGGCAACTCTTGGTCCCCAGCTTTGGGGAACAGCCCTAGCCAGATTTATTCTGTCCCTTGTTAGCATACATGTTCCCATGTTCTTGGGGTACAGCGGAGGCCTGCCCGAGCTATGTATTACAAGAGGCTTCTTCTGCATGTCTTTGGGAGTCTGGGCCTGAAGGAGTCACTCTAATCCCTGGTCTAATCAAGGAACCATGACGGGTCCTGCCCTTCCACTGCTGGCTTCGCCAAAACGCCTTTCATTCATACTGATGTTCTAACTGGCTTCCCTTCTTCCTCTTTGGCTCTGTGGAAAGTGTGGGAGAACAGTGTAGAAAGTTGGCACCAGAGGGCCTGCTGCCCAGTTGCTGGGGGTCACTTTGCTGGATGTGCCGATGACCTCTTGGTGTTCCCACAGGTACTACAAGAAGTTCTCCATTCCCGACCTAGACAGATACCAGCTACCTCTGGATGAGTCCTCGCTGAGCTTTGCTCATGCCAACTGCACCCTGATCATCTCTGTAAGATTTACCCAGACTTCTTGGCCACTGAATCAGGGAGACACTCCTCCTTTCCCTGCCCATTTCCCATCCCATAGGAGTCCCCAGTTCCAGCCCCAACACCTGGCCTGTGCTTGCTAGAGAACAGGCACCTCTCCTTCAGGGTGGGGGGGCTCAGCTGATCTTAGAAGTCACAGCTGGAAGAAGACAGAGGGTGACGTGGAGGGATGGAAATCACAGGCCTGGGATTCTGGTGGAAGGCTCCTATCCAGTCATGTGACCTTGAGCAAATCATTCAGCCTTGTAGGCATCAATTTCCTCAAATAACGGGATCAGAGGAGGCCCGGAGTGTGTATGTAGGGAGGGGAGATGTGGCTGAATGATGTGCTCTTCCTGGTTCCATCCACAGTACCAGAAGCCAAAGGAGGTCCTGGCGGCTGAGTCAGAGCTTCAGAAGGAGCTAAAGAAAGTGAAGACGGCCCACAGCAGTGACGGGGACTGTAAGACCCAGTAGCGGAGCATCCCTGAGCCTGCCCTTCCGGCAGCATGGCGGGTGGGTGAGGCTCTTCTGGACTTTGTGGCTTGGGCCACCCCCTTTCTGGTGCAGGGGTATGTCCTCTCTTCCATGAGCTATCCAGGCTCTGTGAGAACTGGGCCTTGGGGTGCTCCTAGCCCCCATATCATGGTCTGATCTCCCAAGTAAAGTCATTCTGAGTCACTGTTGAGGGGCTGCCCTTTTGTCCACCGCTCTATGCTGTCACCAGGGAGGGTGCTGGTGAGGACACTCCCTTCTCTCCTCCTCAGGGACCTTCAACATCAAAGGCTTCAACAAGCCTTTCACATAAAGGGAAGCCCTGAGCCTAGCGCTAGGGGGGGGGGGTGCATCTTCCCCATCCTGTTTGCATAAATTCAGAGGGACACTAGGCTGGCAGAGACCCTGGGCTGTCTTAGCTTGCAGAAGGGCCCAGATGAGCTCCCCACAGTAAGGGGAGGTAAGGTAAAGAAGGTTTTGAAATACAGAAACCTTAAAAGCAGCCCAGGAGATTAAGACATTGTGGATGTAAAGGCAGAAGGAGGGTTGTATCATTGCAAAGAGTGTGGGTGTGTTAGAGTAGGGTGAAGAAGGGTTACTGCAGATGGGGAGTAGCTTAGCTCCCCAACAGCGCAGAGCCCTTCCACAGTCCTCTACCCCACAGGTGACACCCACCCACCACCGGGGCAAAGGGGTGAGTGGTAATGAGAGGTTTGGTCTTTGGGACACTGAGCCATGGGGCTGGTCTTACCCTTTCCCCAACATGCCCATCCTCATGTTTGAAGATGTCGGTCCCCTCTTAGGGCCTCCCAGGACTTCCCAGCCAGAGAGGAACTGGATCTGTGAACAATCAAGCTTTATTTTTACAAAAATGAACATGGTAGCATGTCTTAGCAGCCGGCCTGAGACTGGGCTGGCTTAGGACTCACTCAAAACTGCTAGCCTCCCTTTGTCCTTCCTCAGTTTCAGAGCAAGACCAGGCCACAGTGCCCCAGGAATGAGCCCCAAGAGCTTGGTCAAGGGTGGGGACTGAGGAGGTAGGGGCCACAGCAGAGGATTGGCAGCCTCACCCCTCCTTCCAAGGAAGGGGCAGAAAGGGACCAACTGGGATGGCTGGAGCCCCTCACCTCACTCTAAGCTATCATGGCTCTAAGAAGGGGCGAGGTACAGGGCAGGCCTGTCCAGACCAGATCCTTGCTCTGGCCAACAGGGAAGCAAGGCCCGGCCAGGCTCAGCCATTCCCTCAAAGCAGCAGATCCCTTCTCTCCAATTAGTTCCTTGGGGGGGGCACCCCCAAATTCCCGGGAGTCAGCAGCCTTTACCTGACGGCGCCCAAGCACTGTGGTGACAGGTCTAGGAGCACAGGCACGGCGGGGGCGGAGGCATCCCTGCACCCTCCAGGCGGAGAGGTCCCTGAGTAGCTGGCTTCCCTGGCCCGCAGGCCAGGGTGGCCCCGTCACAGGTTCTGGAAGTCCAGGACGTGGAGGTTGTAGGAGAGCGCGGCATAGAGATGCTTGGTGGTGAAGCGCAGGCAGTACACAGGGCTGCTGAGCGGGGTCGAGGTCAGCGGGAAGGCCTGCAACCGAGGGCGGAGCCCTAACCTCAGCTGCCTGGGCCCAGCGCCGACTCCCCCGCCTTCTCCAGGCACCCCCGCTCCCAGATCCAGCCCCTAATAAGGGGGTGTGAGGTGTGCGGTGCGCTTACGTGGAGGCAGGCCCTCTGGCGCCGGTCCCACAGCCGCACGACCCCGTAGTAGGAGGACCCAGTAGCCAGCAGGTGGTTCCCATCGGTCTGCAGGCAGTACAGGGTGCTGTCGTGGGGCTCCTCCCACTCCATGACACACTTCCTGTCCGGGAATCGGCCATCAGAGGGAGGGTCAGGGTGCCCTCCACCCCAGCTTCCACAGGGGCCTTAGAAATCCATTCTGGCCGGGAGACAGAAGCTGAATCACCAGACTCTTTCGAAGCCAGACTTAATTCGGGGAAAGCCGCCTCTGGAAAGGGCTCCTTCTCGCCAATGCCCGAACCCCAGGCCCGATGAGGCCCTCGTCTGTGCTTCATACTGCTGGCTATGTGTCACAGGACTTGGGCGGCAGGGCAGAAAGAAAGGCAGGATGCTGAGGGATAGGACCCTGCCGACTCCCCGGGCTCTTAATCAGCACCTGGTGGCTATGGTCTCCCAGGCCTTGGGCCGCCGACGGGGAGCCCAAGCTTGATCTGACCCTGCTGGCTGCCACTCCTAGCCTCCAGCTGGAGGGCCCGGGCCTTCTGGGGGCGCACCGGGACTGCCGCACACTCACCGGACACTGGCTCGGAGGTCCCAGTAGCGAACGTAGGTGTCATAGCCACAGGACAAGAGTGTGGACGGGGACTCATACATGACATCCAACACCCCAGCCCCTGGGGGGAAGTCACTGCCCAGGTGCATCATTAGCTGCCCACTGGGGAGAGAACAAAGGGGCAGAGGATGAGAGACTGTCCGCCTTGGTCCCCACACCAGCTTTTAACCTAATGGCCTCAGTCCCTGGGGAAATGCAGCTCCCCGCCCCCCCGCCCAAGCTAAGATCAGGCTCCCTTAGGAAGGAGCCAAGGGAAGAAATGGCCCAGGATGCCCACCCTGTCACCCCAGTCGCCGTGCTGCCCCTCCCGCAGCTAAAGGCCTCCATCGGCCCGCAGCCCCTGCCTGCATCACAGCTGCTCGCTGCCTGGCCACTGCCCCTCGGGGAGGAAGCATGGGCCTCACGGACGGGCCGGCCCCCCTCCCGTGCGCACACACACACTTGGTTACTTTATAGTTCTTGATCCTGCAGGTCATGCAGTTCTGAGCTGCCTGAGTCCAATGCCTTAATTCCTGCCTGTAATCTGGGGCTCAAACCTCATTGGGGATAAAGACCACACAAAGGGAGAAGGGGAGTCCCAGGAGATGTTAAAACAAGTAAACACCTTTGTGTCTGGGGAGAAAAATCGCTGAGAAAGCAGCTTAGCGGGCCGGTCCCCGGTGTTCCTGGCCCGGCTGGCCCCCAGCCCGGGGCTAGCACGCCTGTGTGATCACAGCCCCCAGCCTGCTGGGCTCCAGCGTGCTCCCCCACCCTCGCCCCTCCCGGTGGCCGAGAGCAGATTACTGAGAAGAACAATTTCTTTGTGACTGTGTAATTCCCTCCGTGACCGCGGCAGTGGGCAGACCCCTCGCCCTGATGCCAGACCCTTAGCAACCATGTAGGGGGGCCTTCTGGCCCTAGCAACTACCCCTCAACATCAAGTGCACCCGCTAATCCCTGTGGCTAGGGAACGGGGAGAAGCAGGGAGTTTCTGCAGAATGACCGGGGCGGGGGCGGGGGGGGATGAAGGAGAAGAGGGGCACCCTCCAGGCCTGATCCAGCACTTTCACCCAAGAGATGCTGGGCTCTCTTCCCTGGCAGGACAGGAGAAGCAAGGCCATGAACACTTCCCTGGGACACCCAGGTAAAGGGCCCCGGCAGTGGGAGGGAGGACGCCACAATCTCACAAGCAGTGTTCACCAAAGGGTGAGGCAGATGCTACCAGCCCCAAGTGAAAGCAGACTTCAGTCCCAGGCCTTCCAGCTCACACGGACTCTGACCCTCAACCTCCCTCCTCCCCAGTGCAGCCACCATCTTCCCCAGAAGCTGAAGGAATAGAGGAGGCGGCCTGGGGTTCCCTTCTACCTTTCCCCTCGAGCCCTGGGCAATGAGGTGACCCCCAGCAAGGGACACTGTTGCGGTCAGTGGGAGGTCAGGCCCTAAGTCAGCACCCTGGCCCCCAGCCTCCTTGGGGAGATATTCCTCTTTCTGTCTGAGGTAGAAGGTAAGCCTCTGTGGTGGGGGACCCTGAGAGGGATCAGGCAGAAGGCTACCACCCACAGATCAGCATCTCCTAGAGATCACTGACCTTGGCTCCCAGGAAGGGCCACCAGCCATGACTGACCCACCCCGGGCAGGCCAGAGTCCTAAGAGGAGTCCGTGCCGCCCCCCACCCACCTCTTTTTTACAGCTACTTCTGGACGTTTGTGTACACCTGGGTAGGGGGCTGTTTGGCTCCACAGTTCTCCCTCCTTCCAGATTTGGGGGCCCTGCCCCTTCCATTAGTGAGGCCTTCAGGAATGACTGAGGAGCTCTCCCCTTTAATCTGCAGAAGTAATTTCATGTTTGTTTGAAATAGAAGATGAAAGGCGGTGGGGGTTGGGGGCGTGAAGCCCAGCATGGCTCTGCCTGCCCACCCCCGGTCCCAGGGCTCAGAGGGAAAGACAGCCGGGCACCCGGGGGCTGGACAGGGGCAGCGGCGTCGGGACCGGCAGCATCAGGGCGATACCCAGACCAAGTTGCCACGCTGGGCCCCCGTCCCAGCATCCAAGCCACCCCTGGAAAGGGTCCTGCCAGTGTCTGCGACAAGAAACAGAACCCTGCCCGCCGGGGGAAACCTGAGGGCCAGAGTGAGCACCAGCCTCCCCGAGGCCAGCCCAAGTCCCGCAGCCCCTTGTCCGCTGGCCCAGCCTGGCCCGAGACAGAAAAGTTTGTTTCTGCGGCTGCCCGGTGCTCCAATTCTCTGAAACGGCCACACACACTTCAAATGGGCCAATAAAAAGATACAATTTCTTTTGCCTCTGGGCCTGGGACCCTCACAACTCTGCTGTGCGGTGCCCGGGAGGTGAAGTCCAGGGCCTCCGCGGACCCAGCTGGCTCTGGGAAAGGGCCCGTCTCTCCGAACAGCGGCCCAGCGCTGCCATGGGAGCCCTGCTGGGGCTTTGATTTGGGAAAACAAACAGAAATGGCACCGTGGGCCCTTCATGGCCCCCACCCCAAGACCAATTTAACTAGAAAACTCTAGCTCAACAGCTCTGGGGAAGGGAGCAAGATCGGCCCGACAATAGCCTCAAACTTTGGGGGAAAGGGGGACAAAACAAGCTGTCTGTCTCCTCAGCCCCTCCTCTCGGGCTCCTTTTCTTCCTGCAAGTGTGTTCTTGTAAAAACGATTAGATTGCAATTTGTATAACATGGTGACCCCCAAATTCAGACGTTTCACCCCTTTTCTCTGGAAAGAATGTCAAGAATGCTTCTCGGCCTCTCACGGTGGGGGGCGGGAGGGGGGGTGCAGAGCCTTGGCTGTCGCACAACTTGTGTGGGAACAGGACTGCCCCTCAGAGTCCCGGGCCAAGACGGCAGCAAGGGCCGGCTCTGTCACTACCGAGGGCCAGACAAAAAGTCCATTCCCTTGCAACTCCTGCACACAAAGCCTGGGCCTCCAGGAGCCACTGGGGGCTGTGGGGGGCGGAGGGGGGGGGGCGCCTCCACACCCCAGCCTCTCCCGAGCCTGACTCCAGCAATTCTCTTTCCACCCAGGGAAAGATAAAGACAGATGGGGCCACCCCTGTGAGCTTGATGAACGAGCGCAGGCCGGGGAGGGCAGCCTGAAGGAGGCCGGGCTGCGTGCCGCGTTCTCCGGGAGGCCCCAGAGTACCTGGGCGGGAAGAACAAGCAGAGGGCGGCCTCAGCCCAGGGACTTGGGGCGAGCAGGTGAGGGAACCAGGGCTCCCACCCTGCTGCACAGCGATTCCAGCTCAAGGGAAGAGGGAGCCCAGGGAGGAGCTTCCTGACAGAAGGAAATCTAGTAAGACAAGGACCCCTCCATCACCATCTTTAGGGGACATCTAGGGACAGCTAACTGGAGGTAGGTGTTGGCCCTGAAGACCCAGACGTCCCAGTTGGGAGGGCCCCTCCCTCTCCTGCCCTGGGCCTTGCCGAGCTGCAAGCCAGTGGCCACCCTGTCCCGAGTCCGCTCATCCCAGCCTCCACCTGCCTCCCTGCCCGGCCTGCCTCTGCTCCCGACACAAGCCACAGCCCGCAGGAAGTCCCCCTGTGCTAGAGGGCCCCGAGCTAGGAGAAGCCAGATCCCTGTCCCACCTCCCGGCCTGCACCTACGAATACCTGTGGCCCCCACACCCCTTAACAGCCACTGTTAACACGCGGGGTTCCCGTCCTCGGCGGGGCCCGGTCTGTGCTCGGGACAGAGGATGTTCCCTGGAGATCCTAGAAGTTCTTGCTCCTCCGCCTGGCATGTATGTGTGACCCTAAGACGCAACAGTGGCTTTCAGGGGACGGCAAGGATGGAAGAGTGACACACAGTTCACCTTCCCGCAGGTCGGCTCCCGGGGACAGAGGACCTGAAGGTGTAAACTGGGCCAGACACGGTCACTCAGGAGGGCAGGTTTTTCCTCTTTCCCACCCCTCTCCTTCCCGCTCTTCCTTTCTTTGAGCAACAATCATTTAATGAGCACCTTCTGTATACCAGGCATTGTGCTTTAGTAGGAACTGCAGGGAGATGTCAGGGACGGCTCTGAAGGAGCTCTCCCTGTCCTCCAGGAGTTCTCAGTCCAGGGAAGGAGGGAGTCTGTCATGTATCCAGCTAACAATACAAGGGGTGACCGGGTGGGTCCCCGAAGAGAAATGAAAGTTTTACCGTAAAAGGACAGATCAGAGAACATTTCGGCCTGTGGGCATGGAGTGGTTCTCCAGGGAGTGACAGAAGTGGGACAGGCCATGACAGGAGCGCGGGGATGGCTCAGCTGAAGGACCCGCCCCAGCAGGCGTGCAGAGCCGGGGCACCGGCGCCATGTTTGCAGCTGGCAGGCACTCCGGTCTGCCCGGGATCTGGCTCTCGGGCCGTGACGGCCCTCGGGTGCACACTGCTCAGCGGGCACCAACTCTGGGGGCCAGGGAGTCACCAGGCTTCTCAGCAGGGAGGAGCTCGTCCTGTCTGGCCCTCTGGTGGGGAGGGCGGGCATCAAGGAGGCATGGGATGTCCCAAATGTTACCACCAGAGTGGTGGTGACAAGGAGAGGCCCATGGAAGCTTCCCCTGCCTCGGCCCCAGCAGGCGAGCGGGAAGGGCCCTGCCCAAGCCCACGGCCTCTCCCCTGCATGTGTGCGCGCGTGCACGGCCCCCTGCGCCCGCCCGCGCACACGTGTTCAGACACAATGGCTCAAAGGCCAGGCAGCCGGGCAGCCCACTTTGTACTGCTAACAAGGGGCCCGTAATTACAGGAAGGGGCAGCCGGGCAGATAAAAGGATACAAAATTTCAACATCTGTTGCCATAAAGGGATAAGGAGAAGTGAAACGCAAAGTATCAGTTTGGTGTCAGCAGGCAGAGAGCCAATTTCAAAGAGTTCAGGGGGACAGAGGGGACAAGAAAGAAAAAGGCAAGGGGGGAGAAAGAAAGAAAGAAATTACAGGTTTCCTTAAAGAGGTAAAGAAAAAAGAAAATGAAAAAATCTGTCAGTAATACTTTCAAAGGAGAAGACAGGTCCTTTAAAGAGGGCAGTTCCCCAATCACCCTGACTGAGGGCCGGGCCGCCCGGGGTGGAGGCGAAGGCGAAGGCGGAGACAGAGCCACACCTGGGCCGGTGGGCCCGCTCTGTGCTCGGGACAC